CGCGCGAAGGGAAAATTAGTGCAAGCACAATATTCACTACGTTTGACCTTCATCTTCTTTATCTGTGTATAATCATCATGATGACGAAAAACGTCGTCTTTGTTCGAAGCGTTGATCAGGTAATTCGACCTAATAAACGCCGTCGAGACTCCAACGCTGCTACTGTCTTACAATAGTTGAAAATGCCGAAGACACATTGCCATCTTGCGTCTTATATTATTTTTTGCTAACATAGTACAAAGTTAGGAAAAGTTCGCGGAAGCTGATCGCAGCGAGTAGAGCTGCTTACTGGACTATTGTGTGCATACTGTACAAACTGACAATAAATTGTCATCATTTAGATTAAAAACAACAACAAAGGTTGTGGAGTCATTCTAAGATGAGAAGTTGAATGTCCAGCGAAGCTGTTTGGCATAAAACACTGAAGTCGCACACAATTTCTAACTATAGCCAATCACACGCACCCTGCAACTGAATCCCAAATGCTTCTCTAGCTAGTACCTTTGAATTAACTAGCTTCTTCAAGCTTGTAAGTTTTTGCAGCGTATGTATTTATGCCGTGACGTGTGTCATCTTTTATTGTGATATGTTTCATTTCGAAAGCCTGCTTTACGGCATAGTACAATGTGGCGTCACAGACACACATAAAAATTAGCTTCAAGTAGCAGGTAGTTTAACGGTCCGTGAACCCAGTGATCATGACCGGGTAGTCAGCCAGGCCCGCGGCCTGTCGTTCGGAGGAGGAGAAGACTGTGTAAATGCCGGCCCGAGCAATACCACAGCAAGTGTGTCGCGGATTATGGACTCTCGAAATAGACACAGTATACCACAGGAGAAGTGGTCATGTACCATCATTTTAACTTTTAGTGTGTAGAGTGCTCCAGCTATTTCTGTGTCACGACAATTTCCACTCACCAAAACATGGAACGCCCTAGCGACCTGCATTTTCCCGGTTAAAAAAAATAAAGAGGTACGTGGAAGTCAAGAAAGGCAGCGACCTAGAAATGTCTGTAACACGCTTGCCTCTTCCGCTAATATGTATTCTTTTCTTCCGTTTTCGCCACCATACATTATTTTCTATATGAACTGACTACACAAAGAGGCGAATGTTAGAGGTCAGAAAAATGGTCCGAATTCTGCGAATCGTCTGCTCACATCCTTTGTCGATTGGTCAAGGCAAAAGCTAGAAAACAGGAAAGAACGAAGGTTAATCACGAATGTAGCTATACTCTACATTGGGCTACCTTGTATTGGGGCATTGGCGAATGGATAATGGTAAGCTTAGAAAGAATGCACGAAAGGAAAAAAAATAGAAGCCAACACGCTGACGCATGTGGGATTGCAGGGCTACTCATAGGCGTTCACACAAGTCCCGATCATTCAAAAACTGTGAGTTGTGTGTGCGCAGGAAAATGTACCCATGTGCACAAACTATGGTATAAGCTGTAGTATATATGTGCTATGTTATAAATGTAGCTATAATAAGCTATGGTATAACTAATGGGGCAGGGGGGTAAGAAAATATAGTATAAGTTGGTAACTTGTTAATTAAGGATATGAATCAAGAAGTCTAAATATACTAACAAGCTACTTACGTGTGAGCTTGAAAAATGATAAAAGAAGCTGCGTAATGAGAAAAATGACAGTTTCTATCACTATAAACAGAAATGGTGACATAAATATTGCGAGTAAATTTTCACCGAAGTCAAAAACCGAAATATTCTACACACGTCTTCCACAGAGGCAATGCCTTGTTCACTTTGGAAACTTTTTTAGCTGTACCTTTTTACTAAGAGAGTTAATTTTTGTCTATTTCCTGTACTGTTTCGTGAGTATACGTGCTTGGCATAAAACTTAAGTGTTGCAGGGCAGACGCCTCGGCATCGGCCAGTCATCGCGGCGAAAGGAGCGCCACGTGTGGGGCGACATCGTGAATGTAGGATTGCAAAACACGTCGGCGGCAGAAGCCACGTAGCAGCAGTGTAGCTGCACTCTTTTGCTTTCATGTTTTCACCAGCACACACTCTGTGGTGCGCCAAGCGCTTTCTATTGAAGCATCTACCTCGCGTCTAAGGTTGGACGATTCGTTACCATTAAACTCAAGGCACTCTGAAGAGTGTGTAAGAAGTCAACGACATCCTCCTTATCTCCTGCTGATGTCACCGCTGCGCAAAACATCTTCGATTACGCCAAGGTTACGATAGTCCTAGCAATGAGAAAAAGATGATTGGAAAGAGAAAGAAAATCGCCAAAAGTACGCCGAACGAGCTAGAGGCATAGCTTAACTTTGTCGTTTAAAAAACATTTCTAGATGTCTGTTATTAGGGTATGTTCTCGAATATTGCTAGATGGCGTTGTCATGGATGCGTGAGAATCGTAGAATATCTTGGAGAACAATAGCTTCGCAGGAATTAACTGCAAAATACGGCGGAGGTTGTGTGTCATGAAATAAAATATTGGAGGAGTGACATACACGATTGACTTTTTAGTGTGTGTTTTTTTTGCAAACCTAGAGCCCGAGCAAGGTGCTTTCTCGTTACCTAGCGCGCTCTAAAACAGGCTGTCCGAGCCGTTACGATAGCGCGTTTTGACACACAGGAACATGAACGCCAGCTGGCAACGCGACAGTCGCCAGTAGTTTCAGGCCAAATTGATTATTTCTCCAGTGATGCCGCACTGCACGCCACTAACTGCTGTTACAGCTGTGCATATAAGAGTCCCACAGTTACAACTGTTGGCCCCATGTGGGAGTACTTCACTTTTATAAACTTAGCCGGTAGTATATTCGAGATGAATTACCATTCCGATCTTTATTAAATATGCGTACCTGATAAATGTGACATTTCTAACGTAGCTTCTAGTTATCGTGCTATCAGACGCTTTAGAACGCACAGATATTATATGATTGCATGGGAGATGTTCGAGTAGGCTACTCACTTTCACAAAAAAAAAGAAGAATTCGTGCAAATAACGTGACTAATTGCATCTTAACACAGCTTCTGTTTTCCCGGAATTGTGTGTGCCTCACAGCATCGTACCTATCCCCACCATGCCAAATGGTCACAATTCAACACTGAGCTAAGCAGGAAGAAAGATAGGTAATATGTGCATATTTCTTTCTTATACTTTACAACTGTGTACCGATACCGGATACTGTTTTCCTGCCACGCCTGATGCTATGAATACCTAGTAAAACAGGGCTTCTATCAGCCACAACAGGGCGCGCACACAGCGAAAAAGAAAAAAAAAGTGTTTAGCGAGAGGAACTTGAACCAGACGTTGCTGCGGCCGCCCACAATGGCGATCTCGACAAACGAATTCATTATCAACGCGTTCATCAGGCACAGGCAGTCCAGTACGGTTAAAATCAACAGCGCTTCGACTTCTATCACTATTATTAGGTGTATACGACTAAATATTAGCACATCAATGAACGTTTTGCATTTATGACCTTCCCGAGTTCATGGCAAGTTTGAAACTCGGTAAGCCAGCCCTACAACGTGAGTTATACCGTGCCTCGCCATAGAAATGCTCTCGGTCATTAGCAAGCGCATTACTGAAGCACCAGAGCACCCAGTAGAAATTAAAAAATAAATAAAGTAGAATTTCAACTAAATAAAAACGACAATAACCCTTTCGCCTTTGCATGTCACGTTTTCGGGCACTCTCTATAGCAGCTGGGTTTGCGTCTCTACGAAAGCGTCGTTTTTCGACGCTCCAATAAGATTTTGTGAACGTTTTTTTTTTGTTGCCCTTAAACGAAATAGGCATGCGCGAAACGTTTACGTAAAGACATAAAAAAGCAACCGAGTGGGATATCAAGACGTGCTTAAAATCTTTATTCTCGTTGGGGATGCGCGCTAAGGCTTATCTCGATTCCTGCGACGCTCAGCTTGCAAACGGCAAAGCCAGGGGATTTGGGTGCCGACTCTCTCGGGAACAACTCAGCTGCCAGGCTTCGCTCGTCCGTTCGTAATTTATTTTGTCGGAGTTGTAAAGTGCGGCAAACAAAAACACATTATAGAATTAAACACAAACTTATCTCGCTCAAGAAGACAACCCATCAGCTTCAAACGCCGCGTCTTCTGCACACACTGCGAAATCGTTTCAGCGATTCAGATTACCCTTTTTCTCCTTGCGGTAGCTGTACTCGAATTTTCACGTAAAGAGCTCAGAAGATGGGATAAATGGGAGAAAATACATTTTCAACGATTGGAAAAGCAATATACCTACTCAACATTAGCCACTGGCTGAACTTGTATGCTTTTAATTTCCTTCCTTTCTCTGTTCAATCGCTTATCGACGTTGAGCTTGCACAAAACATACCTTATTCACCTTGTTTTGAACCAATTAATTGCTCTTCCCAATGCTTGCTTCTTTTTAGGAAGAGATAAAGCGAATTTACACGAAAGAGGATGAAGTGGGAATCAGTGTCGTCAATGGTCGAAAAATGCACAACAACACTTCTGTCCTTATATTGTTTTTCTTTTGCTATTACGTGTTAAGCACTCAGTGGCCATGCGTACAGAAAAAAAATGCATGTACGTTATCCATGGCTGGAATCATTTCCTCGCATGCCTAAGTACACCACTGAAAAGTCACGATAAGTTAGAGAGTAGTTGATCCCTCCTCGCATTTTTTTCGTCTTGAGCAGACAGGGGTTCATCTAATGGTGGTAACAATAGCGATTTCTCTGTATCTTAACTAGATCGACACTTCTCTTGCTGCTCTTTTGACGAATACAAGTCCACTCGTAACGATGGCTGTAGTGATATTCACAATTCAACGAACGTTTTAATTTCTTTATTGCATGTTTTTAGCCGTTCGCTGTCTTCTCTCACAAGCTGTTATCTCTAATGTGGCTTCTAATTTCCATCTTCTTTTCTGTACGCTCGCTTGGCGTTTAATATACTGGGTTCGCCCACAGTTCACGAGTAGTAGTTTAGCACCAGAACCGAAAACGCTGCAAGAAGAGAGCGGGAAGCTGGTGCCGTACTCACAGCTGACTTCAAGGATGATCCGCTTGCTGACCGAGGGCAGCACACCGTTGGATGCGATGCACAGGTAGGCACTCATGTGCAGGCGGGAAACCTTGGTGATATTCAGCCAAGGTGCCTTTCACCGATGAAACTGCAATCATGAACAGGCCAACGGTGAGTTCAAACCTTCATCGTTCAAATTGCGTTCAAGTTATGGCGTCATAATTGGTTGACCCCTCGATAGCTGATGAACATGCCCACGAGATCAACTAAA